TAGATCTTCGGCTTGACAAAAGCCATCCTGTGTAGCTCATTGGGTCAGAGAGGTGCACAAGCCATCACACCACGTCAAAGTGCAGTCTCGTCGTGTTTACAGCTCAAGATATATTCTAGCCATTGCACAATCAGTTCAGTTTCAGTTTTTACAACCATTAACCATGCACTTTCGTGCGCCGGTTTTGGTTCCTGTCTTTTGGTTGCCCATTTGGATAAAAGAGCAAGATTGGAATGTCGAAGCAAATTCAAGCGGAAGATGGGGAATTCATATAGAAGTGCAGTCTCATCGTGATGGGTTAGTAATATCACATAGTGATCTGCATTTGTCATATGCAAGCATACATGATTAGCGTACCCCAAAGAGAAAAGTTTTGCAAACTCTGTGTAGCTCTCAGTAGGTGCAATACGTATCCACCGAACTTGCGAGGACTACAAGCTTATAGCACTTTGCGCGTCACGCATTGCAGCCCATCCGTTTTTACTCGTTGACCAGGGTGAAAAAATACAAACCAAGCGAAACGACTGTGAATAGCAGACGATATCCGCACTCGCACATGTACGCATACACTTGTGTCTACAAACCTAACCGATGAACGAGGGAACAAGGCTACAAAACAGTGAAGTCGGAAAACCCGTTTCAATGACGCGCTTTACTGATTAGGCTCACCCAACGATAGAACGTATTGATCTCCAAATCGACCGAAACAAACGGACTGCTCGTCGTGGCAGATGCGTCGCCGGAATCGAGGACTGATCGGTCTTTGGTGGGTGTACAAGTGAAGAGGAGATCGTCCAGTTCAGCACTTCTTGAATGTGAAACCACTTTAGTTCCGTGTTTCGCACCCACCGATTGACTCCGCTTGTCCGCCCATCCTGCATGTTTCATCGGTTCCGATGAACATTCTGATTCTATGGCACAATAAAAACAAACAATCATCCAGTGCACAGTCAAAATAAAGAGAGGTTGGAAAAGTGAGCTGAAGCAAAAGCTGAGGAATCTCAGAAATCAATTATAATAATACACAAGCTACAAATTTTGGTCGAAGATAGTTTTACTCTTCAGTTACGAATATCTGAAACCCTAAATCAATTACCAGATTGCTCACTCCGTTCTCCCACAATACTGGAACAACACTGCAACAACAATGTGTTTGCAATCTATACTGCTGACAGCCACAACTCAAAAACCTCCAACCAGCCCAACTGCTTAGGTGAACAACTGGAGTTGTTGCGAAAATGTTTGTCAATTATTCGGGAGTTTTTCAAGGTGTTGTGCTTTCTAGATACTTCTTTTAGGGTCCTGGGCAATGACCTACCCTGTATCCCTCCTATCAAGATCTTCAATTCTATTGTTTTTAGACTATCTCAAACTGGGTTCATACCTATACCTATATCAATCTCGCGTGTACCTAAGCGTTTCTCAATGTTTGTAATGTACTTTCAGTTTTTCTCCATCTGGATTCCCCCCCCCCCCGNNNNTCCGCAAACCATCGTCCCTGTACCCGAAACCAGAACACGTACAACGAAAATAGCTAGGAGCCATCACAGAGAGAAACCTAGAATGATTTTCTCATAGGTAAACTTGTACCGATAAACTACATCGATTGTCTTTCTAGATTCGCAAAGTGAGACAATTCGGAATAAGGCAATCAAGTGTTTGTTATTTTGTCCGTCAGTGCATTTTCTCAACAACCACAATAGCAAATTAAAAAGCACTTTACAACTGGCATTTAACTCCAAGTTACTTGTGATACTGATATTAGAGCCAGTTAGCCCGTAACCTGTATGGAAGACCTAAGTTGATGAGAGGCTTTCGATTGAAATTAACAGACAGCCAACTGTCTCCCTTTGTTGCTATCGGGCCAAACTGAACTAAATGACTATCTCTGAAGACGACGCCCAAACAAACATCAGTGGCAATTCGGTTCAGCCCTGGCATGAGCTGGTTGGTACAGTGGTACCGCAGATGCCTTCCATGCGATGGGTCCGGAGTTCAAATCCCGAACAGGACGGTGGATTATGCACTACTGATGAGCTGTAATAAGAGCAAAACTTGAGTCTAGTGCTTACGAGTGTAGGGTTGACTGGAAGAGCTGAGGAATGTGTGTGAAGGTGAAGTGTAAAGGATGGTCAGTTCAAATCAATCAACACTTTATAGCTCTTCACCCCGGTATAGCTTCTAGTGAGAATTTCGTCTCAAAGGTATTTATCGACCCCAGTTATCCGCACAATCTCGACCTATCCATGTATTGTTCTCACACCACAACCAGATCCCATCTTCGCTCCTGAACACCCCGCATGAACATTTACCACAATTCAACATTACTCTATTTGGACCAGTCTAATTAACCATAACAGGGTTCTACATAAAGTTCTTTTAAACCTCCATTGATGATTCTCGTTTACCCAACTTTGTATCCTTATAATATGACACTTTTATCATTTGTGTTTACATTCCCACACTGAACACATTTTTTACCCAAATAAAGGCTCAGATGCCTGTACAGGACAGTGTGAAGGAACGGTTGTGAATAAAACGATTCCGGTGGACGCATTCTGCCCATCAACTGCGTATCCGGTTAGACGAAGTCAATGTGTTCATTAGCACTGCGAATCTGCTATCGCAGAGGACTCGGATCTGTAAACGCGCGACAAGGTTTCCGGATGGGTGGGGCAAGCTCACGGGGAATCTGTTCATCTGCCGGTTTTATTGCTGTTTCTCAAGTCCAGATTAGATTGGAAATTCGATTAGCCCAGTCCATTTTGAACGGTGCAGAGCGCTCGTAAAAAAACATTTGTTCAGACGTATCGCGAGGGAGAGGGAGCGACAGCTTACAACCAAAGAAGAAATTGGCTTGATAGCACAGAAGTATCTGTATCCTTTAAGTAGGACAGGCTTTCGATCGAGAGAAGCCGAATACCGTCACTGTTTGCATGTTAGGAAAATATAGAGCAAGTGATCAAACCAAACAGCACATTTTATCACATCGAGAGGCGTTCACTGCACAAGCCCGGGGATGTCTTGTTTGAGGTGTTCCATCACTGATATTGATAAATCTGGCTTGATCAGTTTCCCCAAAGTAGCTACACCACACACATTGTACCCAAAACTAAAACAATGAAGGTGTTATTTTGGACGTCAAATCGAACCACTGTATACTGGTCAAGGTGATTCCCATTGAGGGGGGGGTTGCGGAATAGATACTGGATGTTGCAGCGTTAATGCATAGATAAACTCCAAATAAGCGAATCTTCATAAACAAATTTCCGCTGGCTATTGCGGATCAACTGTAATCAGAAAAATGGTCGGTTAACAACTGTTCAACAAACTCATTTTCTACGTATTTAGCCACCGACAGAAGTAAGCACAAAACGAAGGGACGGCAAAGTACATCATC